ACTCCTCATGGATTGCTTATGAGCCAAGGGACATTATAGCAATGTTGCCAGCTGTAATTTAATCAGGTCCTCGGGGACGCTTGCTGGCTCTTCCGTGGGTTAAAGAGCTACAGGGACGGCTCTCTTGAGAGCTGCCTCGGTTTGGAAATCAGAGACCTAAGTCTTCAGTGTTGCCTCAGCCGGAGGCCCGTTACCCCACATGTATGCTCAGTGTTCCTGGCAAGCCCACTGCAGCCGCGTGCCCAGAGCGTCTTCCAGGCCAGCGGTGGCTCATGAAGCCAGAACAGTAACCTGCTGGCTCCATACTAACGGTCCCCTGTGGAGCGCTGGCGGCTGATTGGCTGGGTTTTATAGTTTTTGTTTGTGTCATGTTGGCCTTAAATTCATGGCAATCCCCCAGCTTCAACCTTCTGAGTCCTGGGATTACAGGGATGAGACGCCATGCCCAGTTGAGGGTATTTTTATGTGACTCTGGGCTCATGACAGTAAGATAGGGCTTGGGAGGTGGGACTCAGAGCCTGGCTCCATCACTGACCCACTGGACCAGGAGGTCTCTGCCTGATTCGTCAGCTGAAAAGACTGAGGCCTCACCTATGGGTTGTGGGAGTGGGAGAGTCAGGTGAGGCCCAGAGCAGCCGCCTCACTCCCCACCCCCACTCTCCCCAGCTGGAACTCACCAGGGCTCCCAGGGATGCAGGTGTGAATGCAGATGTCTTTAACCCCTCCCTCTCCCAGAACCGGGCCTCTCCTTCACACACACACACACACCCCTGGCCTGCCATGCTATAACCCATGGGAGGGATCCAAGTGCTTCCCGGGCAGATCCTCAATCTGAGAGTCCAATGCCCCTGATCTGCAGTTTGTGGACACCTGGGTTTGTTGGAGCAGGTGGGGGTGAGGCCGTCTAGATCCCAGGAGGTCTTGGTGATGCAACTGTTGCAGGAGCCCTGCAGGAACCCAGCAGGAGCCCAGGGCGGAGCTCAATACCCAGACTGGATGGTTTCCCGCTGGGGCTGGGTACCTGGTTGTCCAGGTCTTCGGGCACTGGTGGGGAGCACTGCAGACCGCTGGCCTCCAGGTCTCCTCTCTGTGAAGGCTCAAGTGGACTTCATGCTAGCTTTGTAAAGATCCTGGTGGCAGCCCGGCAGCGGGGGCGCACGCCATTAACCCCAGCACTCGGGAGACAGAGACAGGTGAATCTTAGTGAGTTCGAGGCCAACCTGGTCGACAAAGTGAGTTCCAGTACAGCCAGGATTGTTACACAGAGAAACCTTGTCTCAAAACCACCCCCCCTCGAAAAAGAAAATATCCTGGTGGCATGATAAAGGAATGGGTGTGCCCTGCTGGGGTGTGGTGTGCCTAGCCAAGGCTGGTAGTGTTTGTTTGCTTTTGATACCAGGTCTCCTGTGTCCCGGGCTGGCCTAGGATGAGGTTATATTCCGGTTCTCCTGCCTCCGCCTCCCAAGTGCTGGGATTCCAGGTGTGCAGCCCACACACGGCTGGAGGAGGGGCATTACCAGAACTCCGGGCAGGTCAGCAACCACCCATGTTTAGAGGCGAGACAGGGCGATGACACGTCCTGGATACGAATGTTGTTGTTCTGAGAGCTGGAACACTGGGTCATGGGAACAGAGAAGGGGCAGCCAGTACAGAGGGACACCTCGGGACTGTGATGACCTAGCCTGGGGCCTCAATTACCAGAAGCCAAGGAGAGAAAAGTACTCTCCCATTCTGCATGCCAGATATGAAGAAGCCAGAACCCAGAACGAATCCACATATTAATTAATTAATTCATTAATTCATTCATTCATTCCCTCAGTCACTCAGAAAACACATTCGGGAAAGCTGGCCCTGGGACAGATGCTCCAGTGCTGAGCAGCGCCCACTCCCCACCCCCATTCCCGCCAGGGGAAGGGATGAGCAGGGAGCCACCAAGCACAGGCTATCAGGAGGTTGAAGGCCTCCCAGGGTGACTCTCAGCTGGAATCTACAGAATAAGGAGGAGCCATCTAGGCAGAGAGGTGAGGGAAGGGCACTGGGGTCAGAGGGAGCAGAGGGGATAGGACCAGGGCTTTGGCAAGCAAGGAGATGCCACTGAGGCGGGCCACTGCAGAAGGATTGAGACCTTATTCTGAGAACAGGGAGAGGCTATGTGTGGCTTGGAGGTGTGGGAGCCCAGCAGAGTGAGGTCACTCCGAGGAGCAGGAGGTGGGTGGGCCCTGCGAGAAACAGCAACTGGAGAAATGTTTGTGGTTGATGATGGGTGGAGGGCTAGGGAAGGTGACATCAGGGGACGTCCAGCCTGCCACAGAGGGACCAGCCCATCCCTGTGCCTCGGAGGAATGGTTCTGCCAAAAGTCCCTGCCAACAGAGGAGGGTATGTGAGCCCAGCACCACGAAAGGTGGCATCAACACAGTGGTCCCCAGGAGACGGTGTTGTGCAAGTCAGGGCTGACGTCAGTGCTGGAACCAAAGAGCTGGGGATGGCTGGGGGAGGGGACTATGGGTGGACGGAGGTCCTGGAGAGAGGCTGAACAGCAGGCATCTCAGAAGTGAAGCTGGGCTTGGAAAAATGGCACAGAGAGAGCCTGGCCGGGCCAAGGACAGAAATAAAGTGTCCTACTTGATTACGTAATAGAAGCTCCCACACCCGGCTCTGCTGTTTGGTAAAACTGTGTCTTTCTGTTGCACGGTGGGTCCGGACAGTGTTAATTAGATAAGAAAGAAAGCAGGTGGGGCCTGGCTTTTCAGAACAACAGAGAGCACGCAGTGGCCTCCTCAAGACCTGTGTTTGAGTCCAGACTCAGCCACTCACTAGCCACCAGCTTGGGTGGGAAGCTTCATGTGTTCTAGACCATCAAGGGACTGATGCTCAGTCCTGAGTGGCTCCAGGGTTCTAGACCCTCAAGGGACTGGCTGCTCGGTCCTGGGTGGCTCCAGGGTTCTAGACCCTCAAGGGACTGGCTGCTCAGTCCTGGGTGGCTCCAGGGTTCTAGACCCTCAAGGAACTGGGTGCTTGGTCCTGGGTGGCTTCAGGGTTCCCAGAATAGGCAGGAGAGAGCAGCCAAGGGGACAGAGGAGACTGAAGAAACCAGGATGGTAACCAGAGCTGTGCAATGGGTAGGGCCCAGCTGAGCAGCCTCACGTCCCTGGAAAATGCCACCTCAGGCTGGCATACATGGAACCAATTGCCCAATTGGTGTTTTTGTTCATTTGTTTGTTGTTTTTAAGTGTGAGGGATAAAGGTCAGGCCAAGATCAGCCTTCACTTTTCAGATCAACCCCTAATTGGCCCATCCCACTTTCAACCAGAGGTCATCCTGTGGTGGGGACCACTCTGGTCTGTCGCGGGGAGGCCTGTGTAGAGATGGGGAAAGGTCGGAAGGAAGGGGTCCCCTCAGGCTGCCTAGGCTTCCCTGTGTGCTTGGACTCTTATGGCCATATGCCAGATGATTATCTCCCGCAAGCCAGGCCTTAGGATGGGTGTGGCATGAGCAACCTGAAGGACAGAGCAAAGCTGACCCAGGGCCACCGAGCCCTGAAGTCTGTCCATCTGTCCGTCTGTCCCTCAGCCCACACTGTCTCTCCCTGGGCAGAGAATCAATAGACGTCACCAAGCCTCCTCAGCCCACTTCTATCCCTCCACCCCTCCTGGGCCACTCTGAGGCCACTGGGAGGACAGCTGTGGTCACTCTCCCATTGTGAGCCTTCAGAGCAGAGCCAACCTTCACTGCAAGCCTGCTCCTGACTTCCGGGGTAATGTGTTCTAGCTCCTTGGTTCCTCCGCTTGGGCCTGAGGTCTGCTCCTGTCCAGCTGCCATCACTTCCGGTCACCTTGGCATCCCCCTGCTGCCCACCCTGCCCTGGCTAGGCCCTCAGTCCCCTCAGTCCTCCCTCAGCCACAGCCATCCTCTCCCCTCCTCTTCCCATTGCCCCTTTTCTCCTTCAGTCAGATGGTCTGCTCTTGGCCCCCCTTGGGTTGGGTGAGCGGCCCTCTCTCCCCACCCAAGTGTCCCTTTCTGGAATTGTTGTCCCTTTGTGTCCCCAGCCTCTGTTCTGCCAGGCTTGTCTGTCAGGACCTGAGCAGCCCAGCAGAGAGCCTAGTACCATGGCATGTCCACTAGTGCTGACAGGCAATTGCATGCTGATAGGCTGAGGGATAGATGGCTTCACTCTGGGACTGAGCTCTCTGAGCAGCCACAGCTAGAGGCCACCTACTGGGAGGTGGCTGGGAGTGGGTGGGAGCAGGGGAGCCAGGCGGAAGAGAGGATGTGGTCTAGCCCAGTCTTGTCCGTCATTCTGAACAGGTATAGAAAATGAAACAAAGAAAGTTGGGTTGCAAGCACGCAGTAGAGCTACAAAGCATGCAGTAGGGCTGCAAGCACACAAGGTCTGCAAGCGCTCAGCAGGGTTGCAGGCGTTCAGCAGGGTTGCAAGCATTCAGCAGGGCAGCGGGTCTACAAGCACTCAGTAGGGCTGCAAGTGAACTGTGTATGGGACCCTGGGTTCTACGTCAGCATAGAACAAGTAAAGGGCAAGTGAGATGGCTCAGTGGGGAAAGGCACCTGCTGCCCTGCCTGACACGGGAGTTCCTTCCATCCCTGAAACCCAAGTTTCACTCTACCCACCAGAGGCGTGTCATGTCGTGTGTGTGTCCTCACACATGCACACATATGTGTATATATACATATGCATATATATGCATTTATATTCAAATGTTTTTAATAAGTAATCAGGGGCCCAGTAGTGATTAGTGCCTTGTGCTTAGAGCCAGTCTCTCTTCAAGCTAAATTCTCTCCCTACTTCCTTCTCCCAACCTCCCACCTCTTCTTTCCCCCTCTTCCTAGTCTGCCTCCCCCACACCAGCCTTTTTTCCTCCCTCCCAGACCCCTGGCCCTGCTCCAGAGCTGCGGACACCCAGCTGACAGCTGGGCATACCAGCCCCAGGAGATCAGGTGGCCTCCCCTACCCAGGCCACTGGCAGTCTAGTTCTCTTGGGCAGAAAGCTCCACCCGGACTCCAGTGCAGAGTACTGAGCTGGGTCAGGCCTTTGTCCCACGCTTGTAGACAGAGGAGGGCACTGAGAAGCGAGTGTCCCTACTGAGTACCCAATACCCCCGAAGGAGGCTCCGGTGAGTGCTGCCTTGAAGGGCGGGGAAGTACCAGCTTGCTGAGCACTTGGTGGTGGACAGGAAGGTGCCAAGGCCACAGGCCTGTTCCTGTTATAGGGTAGCCTCCCTACAGGCTGGCTGGGATCACCAGGGGATATAGGCCTGTTGGAAGTGCTGGTGGCTTGAATTGTGCTTGGGTGTGTGCACGTGCATGCGTGCGCGCGCACTCGTGCGTGTGCGTGCGTGTGTGTGTGTGTGTGTGTGCATGTGTGTGTGTCTGTGCTGGGGTGGTAGAGGCTGGGACAAGCAATGATTGGACAGGAGACGATCTTCCCATCTCCCTAGCATAATCCTCTCTCCCTATTTTGGGGTGCACTACTATGCTCCCCCTGGCCCACAAATGGGCAAGCCAGGTCTGCAGTGGTGGCCGTGGGTTACAGGTGAAGGGCTGGAGCTAGCCACTTTCCTCTACACCAGGTTAAACCTTCCTAGAGGCACACGTCCAGGAAAGTCCCTCTTTTGAGACAGGGATCAGCATGTCCTGTCCCATCTGCCCCACCTTATTTCCTGGGTGAGGCCATGGGGCTGGGTGACATCAGTGCGTGGGGGCAGGGACACCCAGCAGAAGCGTAGGTAGTGGTGGTGGTACCACTGAGAGATGTTCGTGGGAGACGGAGCCACATCACTGCCAAGGCTGGAGACGTCTGCTACTGTAGACGAGGGTGGAATCTTGGGGACCCCATCTCCATAGTTCCTGCAGGCTCTTTAGGGACCCCAAGACCTGAACCTGAGCCAGCCCTATGATCTCAGGATCATACATGGAGTTATGGGAGGGGGTATCCAGTCCCATCCCTTTGAAGTAGGGTCTCCTGTCACCTAGGCTGGCTTTGAACTTAGCATGTAGACAAGTCTAGCCCTGAATTCCAGATGCTCCTCCGCATCCCAAGCTAGGGGACCACAGGTGTGTGCGCGCGCTGTCATGCCTAGCTTAGCTATGTTTTTTTAAGCTACCAGTTTTGTAATTTTTCCTCATGAAAGATACAATGGGAAAACTCAGAGGAATCTGCCAGCCACTCTCGCGCGCCCGCGCCTGGCTCTGCACGCTTGTTCGGAGTCTTGTCCCACTTACCTCACAAACAGCAATTAACACTAAAGGGATCTGAAGTCACTCATGGGCAGCACAGGCCTCTTCCCTACCTAACACACCTCACTAGGCCCTGACGGAGCCCAGTATCATGGTCCCGCCAATGTCAAGCGCTGATCACGCCTGTAAATTCCTCTTGATCTGCAGAGGCTCTGCACCCTCTGATTCACACACACACACACACACACACACACACACACCTGAAGGTACTGTTGGCCATGGGACAGAAAGGACATGGCTGGGGCAGACCATTCTTGGTACAGATGAGGGGGTCTGAGGTAGGAGTCCCTCCTATGGGGGTTTCTTGCACTCAGACCCCACCGTACTCTATCAGGAACCTGAGAAAAACCCTTCTCTGCTCCTTGTATCCTCTGTCCTCTTCTTGGCTGCATTCTGAGGCCAGCAGTAGCCCCTCCTGCTTTGAGCAGGGCACTTAAATAAATCCTTCCCAGGCAGAAAAGCCCTTATGGCTGCTGTCTTGTTCGCTAGCTGCCGCTGGGAACAGCAATAAACTTTATGAACATTGGTTGTTAAGGAAGGGAACCTGCAGGCTGGTGGAGGAGGAGGCGTGAAGATTGGGACGGCATTAGGTGTTGTGTCCGCCTGCATTGTGCATAGCCATTTCTCAGCCTCTGTTGGCCCCTGGCCCTAGAGAAGTAGCAGCGGAGGCCATAAGAGGAGACAGAACCCAGTCTAGATGACGTCGGAGCTTTTAAAAGACATTCCCAGTGGGGCAGGGGAACTTCAGCTGTAACCGATGAACTTGGGGACAGGTCCAGACAAACTCAGGATGTCCCAAGTTTATGCCTGCTGGTTGTTGGATGTAGACAGGGTGCTGGTTTTAGTTTTCAGACAGCATTAATCCCTCTCTGGGCATTCCTGGCATCGGCATAGATGCTGCTGCCCTCTGCTGGGGACTTGCAAGGTGTGCTCGCAGGTCTCCCTAAGAGTCCCTCCAGAGAGGGACAGAGCAGGTAGGAAGGAACACAACTACACCGCACATGCAGCACACGCATGCAAACACACGCACACACACGCTCTGCCTGATTCTTGTGCTCTGACCTTTACAGCTGTTGCTGGAGACTGGGAAATGTGCTTGTCTGGTATTCACAAAGCCCAGGGTCCAGTCCCCAGCATGGCATAAATCGGGCATGGTAGCACCCCCTGCAATCCCATCACTCTGAAACTCCACTGCCCATTACCACCCAACGGGTTTCAAATGGGTTTCGGGTCCTCTCATCTCTAATGGATTGAGAAGATGCTGCCTCCGGCATCAAAAGGGCATTGAACGATACTTGTCTCAAAAGCATGAGCATGAAGTGAAAGCAGGAAGACCATGAATTCAAAGCTAGCCTGGACCAGAGACCCCGCCTCAAAGACAGAACCAAACCCAAATACCAGCAGAACAGGATCTGTTGCTGTCTCCACCACACAATGTCATGCTAGCTGCAGGCAAACCCTATCTCCAGCACACAGACCTCTTGCCCCAGCCCAGAACAGATCCTGTTATGTGGAGAAAGGCGCCAGGTCTGAGGAAGGGGCTGGGGGCTGGAGACATGCCCTGGGTTTTAGCTAACAGTGTCCAGGGTTAGCGCTGGGGCAGCAAAGCCTGTGGGAGGGGACTGGTGAGGGAGAGAGTGCCCCAGCCTCGCCTGCCTCCTGCTGTCTCAGAAGCCAGCTCAGAACATTGCAGGAGCTGCTGAGAACCGTTTGTCAGAGGCTGAAGGGCTTCCGAACCAATAATCACGGTATTAAAATTGTATTCGGCTCTCAAGCTGAAGGAATGTTGGGAGATTTTAAACGTTAAGAGGAAAAGAGGGGGAAATCCCCTCTCAGAGAATGAAATTGGTGTGGAAATAAGTTTCCGGGGCTGAAGGATGGGGCGCATGGCCCCGAGAGCCCGGAAATCCTGCCTTCCTGGGAAACGGTTCTCTGCGGACATGTTTCAGTCACAACCTGGAAGCTGACGTGTGCAGCTCCCCAGAGCGCTCTCTGAATTGATCCCACCCAGTCAGGGAGCCAGGAAGGGGATGATGCACAGGCCTAGGGCCCCTGAGTTGTTTCAGAATGGACTTGCAAACGCCATTAATTCCCCTTCTGGAAACATAAGCCTCGGCCTTCCTGGCCTGGATGGGCCCAGATAATGCACGGCCCTCAGCCACGTGGGGAGCTCTGAAACTCTCCTGCCCATTACCACCTAAGCGGTTTCAAATGGGTTTCGGGACCTCTCATCTCTAATAGATTAAAAAGATGTTCCCTCAGGCATCACAAGGGCATTGAATGGTACTTGTCCCGAAACGCCTGCTCGGAGAGGCCTGTGAAATGTATGTTAGAGCTTTGGAGACAGAGGGCAGACCATAGACCACTTGGCTTTTGAATTGTGTGGCCTGCTGAGCCCAACTGCAGTCTCTTTCTTAATAATGTCCTTCACAGAGGGCCCTTCCCCCACACCTGAGGTTTTATTTTTTAGGATGTGGTCTCTATGCAGGCTTCAGTACCTCCATAATCTGAGTGGGACTGTCCCCTTCCCAGGTTGAACTAAGGCCCAGCAAGCGTGTGTGTATGTGTGTGAAAGCACACATGTGTATGTATGTGATTTGTGCACTTGTGTGTGTATGGGTGTGTATGTGCACACATGGAGGCCAGGGGGTGATATCAGGTATCTTAATCACCTCTGTACTTTATTTTTCATTTTTTAAAATTGTGAATACGAAGGTTTTGCCTGCTACATGTGTGTGCCTGGCACCAGCAGAGTTTAGTTAGGTCATCGGATCCCAGAAGTAGAGTTATAGATGGCTGTTGCCACCATGTAGGTGCTGGGAGCCTGGGTCCTCTACAAGAGCAGCAAGTGCTCCTAGCTACTGAGCCATCCCTAGAGTTCCTATTTCTTCATTTTGAGACAGGCTCTGCCTATAGCACTGGCTGTCCTGGAACTCACTCTGTAGACCAGGCTGGCCTTGAACGCCCAGAGATCCACCTCCTGAGTGCTGGGACTAAAGGCCACCATGCCTGGCAGCCACCTTATTTTTTGAAACGGGCTCTCGCACTAAGCCTGCATCTCTCCAGTTTGACTAGTCTGGCTGGCCAGAACATCCCAGGGACCCTCCTGCCTCTGCTTCCCTGGGGCTGGGATTACAAGTCATTGCCCCCCAGCAGACAAGGCCAGACTCCCCCTCTTCAGCCCCTTCCATTGACCATTCAGGCAGCCATAAGCCCGGCCTAGCATCCCTCTCCTCCAGGCACCCACTCCTGCCCTCCCCTGCCCTCCCCTCCAGTCGCCCACTCCTGCCCTCTCCTGTCCACTCCTGCCCTCCCCTGCCCTCCCCTCCAGTCGCCCACTCCTGCCCTCCCCTCCAGTCGCCCTCTCCTCCTGCCCTCCCCTCCAGTTGCCCTCTCCTGCCCTCTCCTGCCCTCCCCTGCCCTCCCCTCCAGTCGCCCACTCCTGCCCTCTCCTGTCCACTCCTGCCCTCCCCTGCCTTCCCCTCCAGTCGCCCACTCCTGCCCTCTCCTATCCACTCCTGCCCTCCCCTCCTGTTGCCCACTCCTGCCCTGTCTCTCTCTCCTTTCACAAGCACCCCCTCAGCAGGTCCTCGTCAAGCTCCTCAAGGCTAAGCCAAACCTCTCCTCTGCTCCTGGTCACTTCTTGGACACCCCAACTTATGCCTCTCTCAGCCCAATGCAGAAGCCCCCTTAGCCCTTCCATAAGGACTCCCGTTAACTATACAAATAAATAGGATTCGTTGTGCTATTCAAGGTGTGCATGTGGCGGCCCTGATCCACGCCACCCTTGTGGCCCCCACCACCATGCACTTTCAGGTCGACCTCCTTTCCATGTGAGAGAACAGTGTCTATTTGTGGTGCTGGAACTCGAACCCAGGTCCTCGTGCGTTATGCTCTCTGTCATTCCTGAGCTATACTCCCCACCTCCAGCCGAAAGCGTTCATTTTTCATCGTAATTCTCCCCTACCAGTAACCACGTAGCACTCATTAGACCGCTAGTATCTGTTGATTGAGAAAACAAATGAAGGCAAAAACCTCTAGGAATCCGATAAACGCCTTTAAATGAATTTGTTCACTGGTAATTATAGTGTTTATGCATGCTTGGGAAATGCCAGGCTCCCCGAGACCTACGCATGCTGGGGTGGCCTGGTGGGGAGGGCCTTGGGGAGTCCTGGGGTCCTCACTGCCAATGGAGCCCTGCTGTCGCCACCCTCAGAACAGGGAGTGTCCCCAACCCAGCAGAGGCAGGCTGGCTGCCGTTCAGCCTCATAGGGCTGCAGGGAAGGGCTTGTCCTCATGTGGCCAGCCATGGCCTTACTCACTACCGGCCTCGCAGCCACACCCTAGAGGCCCAAGTTAGCCCTGAGGCTGCTGGAGTGGGGCCCAGTGCTGCTTCCTCCAGGACATGACCCGGCCAGAGGGACAGCGGCAGGGCCACCTGTCCACCTCTGGGGCGAGGGGCAGCTCATAGCTGCACCTCTTCTCGCTGGGGTTGTCTCCACAACTCCTATCTGCTCTTGTATCCTTGCCTTTCTGGTCTTCCGAAGGGCTCAGGAGAAGAAAAAGGCGAGGAATGGGGACTGTGGGGCTTCAGAAAGAAGTGTGGACTAGAGAAACCGTCTCTTTCCAGACAGCTAAGGGTCTCCTGAAGGTGTGTCAGAAGGGGGGTGTCCCCTCAGGCAGCCTTCTTGACTTCCTTGCATCCCAGCTAACTCAGTCATCTGGGGAGTCACTCGTGCTGATGCCCACGTGGAGACTCCACAGAGTCTTGCAGGCTCCGTCCTCTGAACCTCGTGACAAGGCCATGGCAGTGGGCAGTAAAACACACTCGTGTCTATTACCTGCTCATTCTCAGCCTCAGTGAGCGTGTGTGTGTGTGCGTGTGTGTGTGCATGTGCCCGTGTGCTGGCGGTGTCATGACGGATCACAGGAAGAAGAGGCCTATGGGCCTAGATGTAAGGCCCAGGCAGTTACAGCTAGTCATCAGGGACTTCAGGAAAGATGTGGGAAAATGAGGCCACCTCCACTGCAGACCCACAGGGCTGCAGGCCACATACAAAAGGAAAAACTTCAGACTCCTTGGGAATACAAGGGCCCGCCTCCGAGGGGCAGAGCCCACTCTGCAGCTGACCCCTGCTCTTCTGCCATTCTCCCCAGCTGCCTCAGAACTGTAGACTGCACGACCCAGGAACAGAGCAACCTTGAGAAGTTTCTTGACCTAAAATCTAAGGCCTGCAACAGCAAGTCCCTCACTTTACCTGGCCGTCAAGTGCAGTGTTCTCAAAGACAGACTGGCTTTGAGGAGACTATCACTGCCCTAAACCCCAGACGCAGGGCCAAGGCTCTGCCCCAGAGTGCAGGGACCTTCCTACTCCCAGAGAAGGTGTAGCCAGGCCTGAGTGTCTCAACTCTGGGAGGACAGGAAGGAGCGGCAGGCTGAGGCAGGGAAGTCTCTATTGACAGAGACACCCCCCTACAGAGGGGGAGTGGTTCAACCACCCCACCAGGACAGGCACATTTGCCCACTGAGGTGCAGGGACCGTCTAGGTTTGGGGGACAGTCAAGCTTGTCCCAGAAACACCTGTCTTACAGGTGGCTCTGGCCAAGTCCCAGCCTCTTTGCGCCTCAGTTTCCTGACTTTTAAAGCAGAAAAGAGCATCTGATGCTAACAGTTCTGGCCTCAAGCGAGCTGGGAGCCGGTGAGCACAGGCTGGGCTCCCAGGCCTTGGTTCAAATCCCTGCTTTTCTCACACCAACTGGTACACACGGGAAAGCCTCTTGACCTCTCTGTGCCTCAGTTTCCTCAGCTGGAAAGTGGGCTGGTAGCACCAATTACCTCGTAGAGTGGTTGTGAGGTTTAAACAATTCAATTAAAATACCCCAAATGTTACGTGACACACAGCAAGGGCTATGTGTGTGGCAGAGTGAGGAAGGACACGGAACTAGGCAGCGTGTGTTGGCAGGCTTGAACTGGCATCTGAGAGCCACGCTTGGCCCCAGGGAGACGAGTGTGAGACAGGCACTCAGCCTCCTTCCGGGAGGGGCTATAAATGAACTCTACAGCTGTACCTATAGTTACTCCAGGTGCCACTGCCTGGGGACAGGTGAGTCACCACAGGCTGACGTGCAAGTTAGGGGAACTGTATTACCTTAGCCCGTGTGGTTTGTGGCCTTCCCTCATCTGTCCACATACATCCCAAGGTTCTCTAGGGTCCTAAAAGGCTCCCCTGACACACACCAGAGGTCTCTCTCTATCTGGAGTTCCTGGACCAGTCCCTTGCTTTAGGCCTTTGCCCTTACCTCCCCGATTGCCTCACCTGCCACCCCAACATCCTAAGCAAATGTACAGGTGCCAGGCAGAGCCTACGTCCCTTCCCCCTCCAACAGGAATCCACTGTGTCCTGGAGGACATGGGCAGAGAAGGGGAGCCTGTGCGGGGACTGTGTGCTGGAGGACACGGGCAGGGAAGGGGAGCCTGTGTGTGACTGTGTGCTGGAGGACACGGGCAGGGAAGGGGAGCCTGTGCGGGGACTGTGTGCTGGAGGACACGGGCAGGGAAGGGGAGCCTGTGCGGGGACGGGGATAGCCGACTTGGACTTTCCATCCTGTGGCATGCTGGCAGTCCGGGCGCTTGGCGAGCCTCTCTAAGCTTAGGTCCTGAACAAAGTGCTAGGCAGAGCCGTGTGCAGAGCCAGCCAGCCATGCCCGGGGCCTGGAGTGAAGGTCAATTAGAGGGTTAATGATGCCCAGTACTGCCCAGTCGCATGGTAGCCAGGAGTCCAGCAAAGGGAGAAAGGTATTAATAACTTGTGGAGAGGGCCCTGCTGTGGGAATGTCCTCTCAGAGGGGACAAACACTCCACAGAAGAGCCACCCCTCACCGTCTCTTTGGCACTCTTCCGAGACAAAGTCAGAATTACTTTAGAAACTGGTTTTCCAGAGTTCCAGGTGAGGCAAGTCCAACTTAGGGAACACAAAGAAGATGGTGGCGCTGGGCTCAGGGACCTGCCTGTGTCCTTGTCTTAATCCTGCCCCGACACTACCTCCTGTCCTGCCGCACAGAGAAACTGAGGCCCAGAGGGCTTGGTAACCTGCCCAAGGTCACACAGCAGTCAGCTGTGTGTGTCAATCATAAAGAGAACACAAATCGCTGGAGCATAGCGCTGCTCTAGAGAAATAAAGCAATCCTGTTGGGGTGGGCACCCCCGCCTGCGCAGAGATGGATGCTTCAAGTCAGGACTAGACCCTGAGCCTGGAAACTCGTATTTGTGTGGGTTGTCTGATAGTTTTAATATTTAAATTCAAAGGGCACAAGGTGGTTAAAGTCTCCCTCTCAGTCTCAATCTGTGGAATCAGACCACAGTTTCTCGTGACAGATTATTTCAGGAGCAATACACGCCTATGAGCCATCTTATTTTAGGGCTCATGGGTGACACACCCATCACACCCCCTTCTCCATATAATTTCTGTTTCCTTTTTTTTTTTTTTTTTTTGCCAGAAAAGTGGCCTGTCAGGAATCACCTCTACTGGGACAGCAGTAAAGGCCGCGAGACAGAAAGCCAGGGACCACGGACAGCCCACCTGGTGGTGGCAGCAGCTTCTGTCTCTTGCCTCTGTGGGCAGACTTGGCGGTGCCGGTGCCATGGTGGTGCTGCACAGCACCAACACGGGGAGCGATGGGGTATGTGTGCCGTTGGAGCCCTTCCTGCACCAGGTTGGTGGCCACCTGAGCATGCTGCAGTACGATGCACACACAGTCTGCAAGCCCCTTAACTCCCAAGAGCAGAAGTTCTACGAGTCCCTGCCCCTGGCCATGAGGTGTTTCACCCCGCAGTACAAAGGTGAGTGGTGGGGTCCAGGCTCGGCGGCACTCATAGCTGCTGTCAGTGGGCATGGGGTGTAAGGGCTGTATGAGAACAGTCCTCTTTTCGGCTGCCAGGGTCCCTGTGCTAGCACGTCTCAGAATTCCTCCAAGGTCATGAGTGTTAATGACTTTGGGGATAGGTCAAGTCACTCCACATCCAAGCATTGGGAATGGTATGGAGGGATGCCCAGTCCTAGTGGGTCCTTATGGCATATTCTACTCTGCTCTTTGGGAGCGTGACATGTTTGACTGTGGCTAAACGTAAGACCAAGTAAGGCCTCCTTGGCCTCCCTCTGGACACCCAGGCTAGACCGGACATGGAGAGTCTGGTACATGACTTGGTTAGAGTCCAGCATGCCCACTCCATACAGGCAGGGCAAAGGCCAGGCTGCCTTCCAGTGTGTGCAGCTGGGGAAACTGCAGCATGGCAGTGCGTGTCCTGGAGCCAAGCACAAGGTAGTTGTGGGAAGGGCTGTGCCTGTTGGCTTCCTTGTCTGATACCCCTGCCCAGATCCAATGGTAGGGGTTTGGTCCCCCACTCGGGGGTTGGTAAATGAGGTCCTGCAGAGTTGACGGCTAGGTGACCCCAAACAAACACACCAGGACAAGACCCTCTAAAGAGTCTTAGTTTTTTCATGGTACCTGCAAGGATGACAGTGATGACAAATAAGGCCATCAGAAACCTGCTGTGGGGACCAGTGACCAGTGACATGCCTCAACCTGCCAAAAAGTGCTTGCCTAATACGCATGCAGACCTGGTCTCCATACCCAGCAGTGCACCAACTGGAACGTGGTGGCGTATAGCTGTGGTAGTCTTTCTCAAGAGGTGGAGGCAGGAGAACCAGAAGTTCAAGGTTACCCTTGGCTATGCAACAAGTTCAAGGCTCAGAAAAGAAAGAAACCCATTGCATTCAGGTGTTCGGAACAAATGGGAAGGCCGGATGCGTCTGCAGTAGTCTTTCCAAACATGGGCTTCATTAGGGCTCCTGGGTTCCATTCCAGACCTGCCGAGCAGGACCCAGTCAGGAGTCAGGACTAGGCATCATAGCCATCATGGACCTGAATGGGAAAGTCCGCTAGGCATGACCAGACCACAGGCCTGGCTGTGACTTCTGAACTTTGTTTCACACTGGGTCTCTGGAGACAGAAGAGGACATTGGGCTGCCTCTGGAGCCCCCTGTCTTGCCTGCCCTGGCCTTTCCCACAGTTTCCCAAGGCCACTGCTTATTTTGTCAGAGAATCCACTGGAATTAATGTCTGTCCCTCTGTAACTGAACTCAACATAGCAAAGGGTAGCAGGTCCTGGTGTGAGGTGGACTCCTGCCGGGAGCATTTCACTCTTGCTTGGCACAGCTCTGGCGTTGAGAAGGACTGTGGGGGCTGCCACAGGCAAAGGGGGAGTCGGTTCAGGTCCTCAGGGGCCCCTACCTTGCCATGACTCTGGTGGGGATGACAGGGTGATCCCAGGTCCTAGACACCCATTCCAGACCTCTGCTTCCTGGGGACACCTCCTGAGGGCTCTTCTATTTAGGGTACTAACTCTAGTTACAAGACGCTCCCTGGTTAGAAAAAGGTTACAACCCCAAATAATCATTGTAAGTTAAAAAGACCGTAAATGAAAATGCATTTAATAGACAGAATCTACCTCACACCCTAGCTTAGCTTGTGGTACGCCCTGGAACTGACTGGGAGTGACAGTCTCTTCCCGGCATCCTGAGGGGCCTGTGTCATGTAGCACTAGTCCAGGAAAAGATCAAAACCGCACAATCAAAGGCTGTTTTCTCCTGGATACATTTCACTCGCGCCCCTGCGAAGCTGGGAACTTGGAGGTCAGACTACCCCGCACTAAGGGCTGCCCGCACCTCGAGTCAAAGGGTATAGCTAATGACAATCCACACCGCAAGATCTAGGTCAGCCTTGTCTTTGGGGTGCTTCTAAACACAGTGGGGGTGAGCCGGAGCAGAGGACCTCCTGACTCCCAGGATAATGGATGACTACCAGCCGGCCTAAGAGAGGGCTAGGGTGGCACCCCAATGCCAGACTTTGATGAAGAAATACTGACTCACTCTCTGGCAATGTGAGGAACCCAGGAGGGTACTCGGTTCACTCTTGGGTATCTGCAATAGAGCTGGGACCAGGCATGGAGGTGGCTGGTTTTAACCAATAAGAGCAGTGGAGGCAGTCAGTCCATCATGAGTACCCTGGGCCATTGCAAGAGGTTTCCACACCCCGGCTTACACAAACCTCACAACTCTCAGAAGCAGACACGGATGGGGAGAGACGGCTTGCCTGCAGCCGTGAGAGGCTGGGCCGGGATTTGAAGCCCTGATGTCTAGATCTCGAGGGTGGGTTCTTGGCTCCATCACCCTCCACTCAGCCACCTGGAGTGTCCCCAGGAGGGAGGAGACAGTCTGTCTCAGAATATCCTATCAGTAGGACAGATAACCTTCTGCTCCCACCTAGGAATAGCTTCCTCAGAGAAGAGGGGCCATTTCTGAAGTGGCTGCAACACGCCATGGAGCCCATCCTATGCCTTCCCCACCATGGCACCAGGGAGAGTTTTGGCTAGGGTGCCATTCTAAAAGGAAGTGTCATGTGTCAGTGGTTCGCTGTAGACCTTAGCTAGGCTCGCAGCATTGCCATCTTGGGGCTGTGTCCCTCACCGCTCAGTCGGCTTTGTGGGCCTTGGGTGAGTGAGGACAGGCACTCGGGCTCAGTCGGCGGAGGGCTTGGCCAGATTCATATTACAGATGGTGGCGGTGAATGTTCTCATAAGCTTAAAAATAAACACATGATACACTATCTGCCAAGGTTCAGGAAGCTGCTTGGTCAAACCGAAATCGCTGAGATGCTCTGGGCATGCCAATCATGGCAGCAAGCACTCTGTCCTCCCAGCTGGCAGACCCTCAGGCTGAGGTGCATGGGAAGAGCTGGGGTAGGCCCTGAGGCTCTAGTAGGGCCTCAGAAGCAGATCTCAGGACCCCAGAGTCTAAGCCCTGACTGTAGAGCACACAACCCAAGCCCCAGAGACGCTGGGTTCCCCTGGGTCAGGGGCAGGCAACCCAGCACAGTTCACAAGGGAGACCTCAGGGGGTCAGCTCCAGGGAAGTGCTGTGCTGGATGAGAGAGGAGAGTGGGGGGGGCAGGGCTAGGAGACAGCAAATCGTGAGTTCATCAGCGGCTAAGACTGAGCGGCAGGAACGCTGTGCCCGTCATGAGGCCCTGACAATATGAGAAATGGAAATGACTTTTGCATTTTATTAGTTGGGGGTTCTTTGCACCTCCACTCGCTGGCATTTATGCAGGCACTCAGAACCGATGAGATCAGACAGGAATGAAGCCTGGAGCAGTCAGGGGAAGGTCACATTTCTCGTCTCTCTAGGGAGGCCTCTTGGGCACAAGCCGTGGAGAACTGTGTTTTCTGGCAGGCATGTCACCATAGGCCCTCAAGTAGAAAATGCCAGGGGAAGCCAGATGGGAGCATGAACTTTAAGAGACCCCAAAGGACACTGCTTTTGGCTAGTGGGGCTCCCTGGACCCACTACGCAGCTAGAAGGGCACAAGCTCCCTCCAGGACAGGCACAGGGCCGTTAGCGCTTTAGTCAGAGAGGCTTCATGTTGAGATCTGGAAGGTTCTCCTCGCTGGAACAAACACAGCAACCTCCTGCCCAAGGACCCAGGACTGAAAATGCAAAACTCATGCCCTCTGTGATGATGGGGCTCCCCTGAAGGTTCCACAGAAGAGACTGGCCAGAGCAGTGTTTCTGGGAACACAGCAGGAGTGTCCCTCGTGCATGCGTAGGTGAACAAAGCCTGACTATCTCTGTCACTCCGTGGAGTCCTGGGCAATGTGTTCTAACACGTTCCTTCTTCAGCGCCCACCTGGTCAGTGACTCCATCCCACGCTGGCTGTGTGACCTTGGCTCAGACTCCCTGAGCCCTGCTGCACCATCTTATGATGTGTTGTCATTTAGAAGTCACAAGTGAGATGAGGCAATGTCCCCAGCTGGCCACTCTCAGGCACAGGACGGATGAGTATGACAGGCACGATTCAGGATGAACACCGTCGTCAGATAAACGCAAACGCCAACAGCGTTATTACTGCGGCTGAGATGTCTAAAGGATACAGGGGCCTGGGAGGGGTGGAGGAGAAGCAGTATTTCTCAGGAGTCTAACAGAACTGAATGTCCCTCCTGGGCTGCAGAATTAGGCCACTAGGCATCTGAGATGACGGGATTGGCCCAGGGAGCCCACTGGGCTAGTGTAGAGGACTCTGGAGAGTCACATGCTGAGCTGCAGAGTGACCCTGGGAACAAGGGTCCACAACAGCCCCCAAGGGCTGGGCATGGATGCAGGCAGGAAGATCAGCGGCACCCCCTTGCCTACTCAGCAAAATAGCCACTCCTACTGGGTAGGTGACCAAGGGGCCTGCGGAGAAAATAAATGTTGAACACAAAGAAACACGACCCCACCTCCTCTCCATCTCTGTCAGTAGGAAACAAACCGTGGTCGAGAGAGTTTTTACGAGGGACTAGTTGCAGAAATTCAGGCAAGCTTGAGGGCACCCTGAAAATGTAGCCCCTCGGGCATGCAGGGCAAGAGGGAGGAAGAGGAAATCCTATTGGAACACAGCAGTGTCTGACTCACCCACAGATACATGGAGCAGGGGCACAGTTGGCTGAACAAGTACCTTCCTTCTCTTACCCTCCCACCCCTGCCAGGGCACCACTGGCCCGAGTAACTGGGAACGAGAGTGCAGGAAGCCATCAGAGCACTGCCCATGATCGGCTCCTCAGCACCAAGGGGGTGAAGAAGCTGAGAAGTAGGTAAAGAGAGAAACAGCAGAGGACAGGATCAACCAGTGCCCTGTTCTCAAAGAACAGGAGGCTAAGTCTGTGGTGTGGTACCAGGGTAAGGCTGGATGCTAAGTCTGTGGTGTGGTACCAGGGTAAGGCTAGGTACTGCTGGATGCTAAGTCTGTGGTGTGGTACCAGGGTAAGGCTGGATGATAAGTCTGTGGTGTGGTACCAGGGTAAGGCTAGGTACTGCTGGATGCTAAGTCTGTGGTGTGGTACCCGGGCACAGCCAGGTACTGCTGGATGCTAAGTCTGTGGTGTGGTACTCGGGCACAGCCAGGTACTGCTGGATGCTAAGTCTGTGGTGTGGTACCCGGGCACAGCCAGGTACTGCTGGATGCCAAGCCCCACAGAGGGAGGCCAGGCCCTTCCACTGCGACACGGGCTCTACTGCCTGTGACTGTGCCCAGCACAGATAGCTTTCTGTCCCACCAGTGTCTGAGGACAATACAGAATATGTGGTAGGTAAGCTTTGGGGAGGTTCTCGCCGGCACAGCCAGTGATTTTCCTGCTGTGATTGCTGGCTGCGGTGGCAAGAAATGGAAACTTCATGTTAGGGAGACCTCAAAGACTCTGGAGTTTTCTCTAAGAACCTCACGTACCCCAGTTCTCCATACGCTGGCTGATGTATACAGCCAAAGACGACAGCTGTGCACCAGGGGAAAAGGCAGAGGAAAAGACTGAGGAAAAGACTGAGGGGAGAGTCCTGAGTCCAGCCGCTGCCTCAGGAAGGCTTCCTGGAAGAAGCTGGCTAGATGATGACAAACGAGAAGAGATGGCTGAGGGGGCAGGCTTCCCTTAATTGGCGCTCCCTGCAGGTGGGGAGCAGTGAGGCTCCTTCATGGAGGACCAGCTCTGAGGTCTCCCAGGTTGGCGGTGGTGGATGGATTGGCCTGGGGTGACTGGAAAGGAGTGCAGGCTGGAGTCCAGTTCTAGAACAATGTAGCCAAGTACAAGAAGGAGATAAAGGAGACAATCCTAGCTCACCCACGGACTACTTTCTGCAAGCTCCAGGGGGTGGAGGGTGGGATCAGGTGCAGGCAGAACCACCCTGGTCTTGACTCTTGAGAGAGGAGCTAGGGAGAGAAGGACGTGGCCCAGGGCCACCAATCTCAACAGCATTGACTTACAACACATGACTCTGTGTGCTCTTTCCTCTGCCCTGTGTCCTGTAGGTACCATTACGGTGCACCTCCGGAGAGACAGCAGAGGCCATCTTGGCCTGGTCGCCAACCCACTGAAGGAGAACTTGGAGCCTCTCCAGGTCTCCCCAGATTCCAGAGCCGTAGCCATCTGGCAGACACTTCAGCAGCCAGCCAGCAATGGGAGCAGCCCCCGTCCCCTGGCTCAGCTGGCACACTCACTTAAGGAAAGGTGAGGGCCACTGGGCAGGGGACAGAGGGTTGGTGTCAAGAAAATGAGAAACTGAAATGAAGGCTTGGTCTAGAACAGCCAGTGTTGCAAAGAAAGGGGGGTCTCTTCCACCCTTTCTTGGGGGTTGGGTGGACACGTGTTCTAGCTCATGGACCAACACACAGGCAGGGCTTGTGTCCAGAGCTTGTTTAATTAAATACCTGCTTTGCTGAGACTGCGCAGGTCTCTGGGGGGGGGGGGGGAGTATGCAACCGGAAACCTTGGAATAGTTTATGGAGAGGAAGTATGCCTAATTTCTCTCGAAAGTCGGGTTTTTTAGCCAACTGTAGGGGAAGAGACAAGAAGAGTGAGTCCCAGGGGACAAAAGAGGCCCCCAGGGACCTAGGGACTCTGGAGCGATCTTGGGTGCCTCTGCTAATGTCAGTTAACCTTTCCCAGGGTCCCTGGGGGCTTTAGACATTTATGGAAACAAAGGGAGCAGAAACAGTGACAACAGCCTCTTCCCCAAGGAGCCGCAGATCTAATCAAGCTCTGGGCTCAGCATCACAGCTGGGGCCGAAAGGCAGAGGGGGCTCTCACTCTGTGCGTATGGACTATGTACGGCACTCTGAGGTCTCAAGGATGTAACAGCGCACCAGGGCATGAATCCAGCCCCCCAGCCTTGAGATTCCAGGTGACGTCATCATCCCTATTCTTCGTCCCCTGAGAGGACCTAAATGGCTCTAACTCTCTGCGGGTAGCACACTTAAGAAAAGCTCCCAAGAGTACCTGGTGTGATCTGGTGTCAGGTACCCACCCAGTTTGGGCAGGGATGTCTTCGGAACCCTGTGGCATCTCTGGTGGCTTGGTAAGAGAGTCCCATGCAGCAGTCTGGGTGGTCTTTGCCAGAGGCCATGCCAGAGAGGCCAAGCAGTGAGCCACAGGCATCCTTCCTGCCTCTGGCTCCTGCTGCCCCCGCTGTCTTCAGACGCTTCCCTCCACAGCACAGCCAAGGTGCTTCTGAGCTCTGACTGCCACCTCAGTACGCAGGCCTCCCCACAGGAGGAAAGTGCGGATGGAAGCCAGGTGGAAAGAAGGGGCTTTAACCCTTGGGGACTGCACTGTCACCAAGCCCACCTGACCCGCCTGTGTTCTGAGTACCCAGAGGACAAACGGCACCGTATCCTTACCACTCTTGCAACCGCATACAATACCTGGGACAGGCATGAGCAGAGGAGGACAGAGAGGCAGAAACAGATAGACAGACAGCACACACACACACACAAACATACACAGGGACAAGGAGAGAAGTGGGGTGGGGAGGGAGGAACAGATGTGGGATGATTTGAGGGTTTGAACCCACAAGCCCAAGGTCTAGAAGAAATCAGATCCCTTCAAAAGAAGACTCAGAGAGAGTGGGGACACCCAGCTAGTGGCTAAGCTGGGCCCTGGCATGCGTGTCTCTGGCACTTCAGCAGGAGAGATGGGGCAGGGTTACTGGGGAGGTGTGATGCTAGCTTGGTAGGGACAGGAAGACCTCTGTGTCCCGACCCCACTCCAACATCTATTCTGCCGCTTCTGTTTCTACCTGCAGCCCAAGAGCCATGGAGAGGCCTGAGGGGAGGCAGGCCTTTCCTACTCTCCCCCATGCGCACGCGCGCGCGCACACACATACACACGCGCATAACACACAGTTTAGCCACACGCACGCACACACAGACGCATGCACACACACAGTTCGGCCACATACACACATGTACACACACGTGCACACACGCACAGTTAGCCACACACACACGTGCGCATGCACACACACATACATAGTTTAGCCACACACAAGTGTGCACACACACCCCAGTGCTTGCTGCAAACAGCGGCTGCTCTTGCAGTATTTACTATGACACATCTGCCTCCCTAATCCCTAAGAAGCTTTTGAAGGATAATGACTCCACTGAAATTAATATTCCTGCAACTTACCTCCGAGGCGAACATCAACCCCCTTGTCCCAGAAGGTGCCGGCCCGTTCAGCGGACCGGAGGTCTCAGCCCTGTGATTTTCTGTCCTAAAATGTAAATTGGGCATGGCCTGCCAGGAATTGCATGCCTGCATTTAAATTTCAACTCCAGAGCAAAATGGGAAAAGGTTCTCATAAACTCCCCCTAAATAAATGGACTTATTAGAGCAGACTGCCAGTGAATATCTCACAGTCTTAATAGCCAGGCTCGTGGGAAAAGCTGGAAACAGGAGGGAGGGGCGAGCGGGAACCTCAGGTGCTCTGACTGATGACCCGGGCCTGCTGGGGCACTCCTTGACTTAGTGCATCCAGGGTTCTTGCTCCTGGAAAACGTGGTATCACAATACAAGCAGCCCTGCATCCTGGATCTAAAGATGGGGACCCGGCAGCATGGGGATGACGCGTCGGAGGAGAAGAAGGCCCGTCACATGAAGAAGTGTGCGCAGAGTACTTCAGCCTGCCTGGGCGTGCGCATCTGTGGCATGCAGGTAGGTCGATGCAGAGGGCTGACTGGCAGGGGTTGGAGGCTGGCATCCTGGTAGGCCTGGGTACACCACCACACCTCTGCTTCCCTGCGGAGCCCAGGCTCTAGGGCACTTTCCAAGCAAGGAAGCCTTTTAGGCTAAAATGCTGGGTGTCAGTGGTGTTTTGTTTTCAGATAGGATCTCAGTCCAGGTTGCTTCACACTCCTTAAGTAGCCAGGGCTGACCTTGAACCCCTGGTCCTCCTGCCTCCTCCTCTGCAGTGTTGAGATTACACAGGCGTTAAGTTATTTTTGTTTTGTTTTATGGTGCTGGGATGGAACCCAGAGGCTTGGCAGGGGAGGCAAGCACTCTACCACTGCCTTGCATTCCCAGCCCACACGCTGGTTTTTTAAAGAGCACCATGGAAGATTGTCCAAAACTCAGCCTCACCATTTGGGGCAGCTAAAACTTTGTGTGACGGTCCTGTGGCTCCTACCCATATTGGGAGGGGCTTTCAATGACAGCGTGGGGGCAGGGGCTGGAGAAGAGCTGAGAAGATGCATCTGGTGGCTCACTGAACCCACATGTGCAATAGAGCCGAGTTCTGTCCCCTTCGGGTGGGGTGCAGAACTCGCTCTTTTGAATTCTCATTAGCTAGTCTCTCATCTATGTTCAGCCTTTCTGCTTCTTTCTGCTGCGCAGTTAGGTTAACCAAGGAAGGTCAGAAGCCACCAAACCCAGGCGTGGCTTGTCCCCTTACTGCCTGGGTCCCACACCTCTGTACTGAAGAGGCTGCAGCAGGACTGCAGGGAGAGAGGCAGGAATCCACCCCGGACAGCGTGTCTATACAGTACAAGACCAGGCTCTGCTTTGACGGCAAACGTTATCGTTTTCCTTAATTGAAGCTGCCACCCCTTGAAGCTGGAAGTTGAGTCCATAAATTCATTGCACAGATGTCCCTGGGAAGGCTGGGAATGCGGTCCTCGGAGGACAGAGGAGGATGATTTGTGAAGTAAATGGAGTCTCTCTGCGGACCTCCAACCTTCTGCAAGTGACCTGATTTATCTAGAGAGTGACGCCTGCCACGTGTTTACTAAGGCTGATTTAGCAGCCAATCTCCGGTTCCCCAAAAGCCTATTATAGCCTCCTGATTAAAAACAAACAAAAAAACCACATTATGTAACATGAAGACAAGACAGGCCTCAGACAGGCACAGGCGGCCGCTGGCTATTGAGGCTTTGTCTCGGTCTCTGCTGCCCCCTGAGCTGTCTGAGGACTGCCTGTGGCCACCATGGGGTCCCCATCAGCTTATCTTTTCTATCTGCTCCCTTCTAATGGCCAAGACGTGGCAAGGGCAGGAAACTGAGACTGTGGAAAAGAACCGTTGTCTGCAGAGGCGGGCTGTGGACCTCTTTCTGCTTCCCAGCCCCGCCCCCCAGCAGAACTGGCTGCCTGCAGGCCCCACCCACACCTGGTCTAGCCCATTTCTTTACCTCTGAGCAATTCACCTGGATGGTTTGGAAGAGCCACCCCTGAATGCTTAAAATCTGTGAGAAAGGACCCAAACTTCATTAGAGAGAACGTAATCAAACTGGCTCTCCAAGTCCATTGGCCCGATTTCAGGCTCCTACTGAAACTTTCCAGCTTGGGTTTGCTAATATCTGAATTGAAGACTGCCGGAAGCCAAGATTTAAATCACGACTTGGAAGTTGACATCGGAAATTCACAGGAAAGGCGATCCAAACCTTGGAGCGGTGCGCTGAGGGTCACCTCTGCGGGTGAAGGATCTTTGGGCCTTGGGTTGAGAGACCAGACCTACAAAGAGAATACTTTAAAATGCTGCACTGGAACATGCATAAGACCGTCTCTTATGCATCTCAACCACTCTTCCCCAAATCACCCGGAAATCACTTCACCTACTACGGGAACGTGTGGTGAAACCACCACTGGACCACGGGCAATTTTGATTTGTTTTAGCACAGGTTGGCCTTGAACTCACTAAGTGGCTGAGGGTGACCTTGAACTCCTGATTCTCCTGCCTCCATCTTTTATATTGTGGTTTTATAGACTTGCACCACCATACCCAGTTTATACAGTACTGGGGATTTAGTCCTGCTAGGCAAGCTCTCTACCAGCTGAGCCACATCCCCAGCCCCCAAGGCATGCTTTTATTATTATTATTAACATTTACAATCCTTCATAGTCTCTCTCTCTCTCTCTCTTCCAATGTAAGGTTTATCAAACTGCTAAGAAGAGTTTTCTCTGCAAAGACAAATACTACGGAAGGAAACTCTCGGAGGAGGGGTTCAGGCAAGCCCTTTCCCAGTTCCTCCATGATGGAACCCGCCTACGCACAGAGCTCCTGGAGCCCATCCTTCGCAGGCTGCAGGCTCTGCTCACGGTCATCCGGAGCCAGAGTTCCTACCGCTTCTACTCCAGCTCCCTCCTCATAATCTACGACGGACAGGAGACCACTCAAGGCAGCCCGTCCGGTGCCCCTGCCAAAGTTGATGTCCGAATGATTGACTTCGCTCACGCGACGTACAAGGGTTCCTGGAATGAGCACACCACCCACGAGGGACCAGATCCTGGCTATATTTTTGGCCTTGAAAACCTCATCGGGATTCTTCAGGATCTCCAAGAGGGAGAATGAAGGTTCTTGGAACTTCCTGGAATCTTCTGGGCTACAGATATTGCAAAGGGACCTAAGCTAGAGTAGCCTAACTCCATCCCTTGTAGGTGTCTTTGTAATGACCATATCTACCTTCTGTGCATCTCTGTGCATGGCAAACAGCGTTGGCAGTTGCCACAGGAATCTGCTCCGCAGGCATCCGCCCCTCACCGGGCATCTTCTGCAGTGCAGCTCCTCTTGGAGCAGACAGTAGAGGTGCCACCATCATCAGCGCACAGGACGGGGTAGCCTGGGTCAGAGGCCAGCACTGCAGCAATGCAGGGTGCCTGCATTCCAGAATGCTTGCTTTTCCGTTGCCGTGCTGCAGTCCCCAACAGCCAGGAGGGAGAGAAAAAAACCAAACCAATCTCCTGGAAGAAGTCTTGAGGGAAATTCTGCTTGTGGGGCTCGGCCACGCCACAGGCAGGCACAGCTGATGCCTCCCACCTCCTACAAAGAGATATAGGTGGGACAGGAGTAAGTGAGCCCATTAGTCCATCCTGCCTGCCTTGGACTCAGGTTCTGAATGGACAAGAGCACTGGCCGGGGTGTGGTGGGGTAGCTCAGTAGGAGGCTGAAGCTTGCGTGCAGGAGCCCCTGGGCTCCAAACAAGAATAACAGTGATAACGAATGGGTGAACAAGGATAGGCCCAGGCAGACCCTGATACCCCCCCCCCCGCATGTGAGGGGAGGAGCCCAGACAGACTTCTGGGGGGCATGAGGGGAGGTGTCCCCACAGACTTCTGGGGGCATGGAATGAGCAAGTCTGCCACACTGTGATCACAGGATGAGCCTGACCTGGAAACGCAGCTTCCAGTGGAGGCAGAGTACACCAACAGAGGAGCCAATAGCCTGGATTCCCCATTTCTATTTATTTATTTTGGGTGTGGGTAGGGGGAACCCAGAGCGATGTTTACAAGAGCAGCGCAAGCGAGGAAACCAGAGCAAACAGGTCCAACGACAACGTCCTTCTTCTGCAGCATTGAAACTTACTACAATGCCCTGGAGCCCGCCGCAATGCTATGCTCCCCAATTAAGGAAATCAATTTGTTAATAAAATTGCTGAGGTCACCAGTGATTATTGGTGTGCCTAATACCCTTTCTGTTCATTCTGGTCAGCGCGCTGTCCGGTACTTCAATTTATGAGAAGCTGGAGTGTGCAGCAGGAACAGTTTACCAGCTTCCCCGGTCCCTCAGGAAATGTGGTAGCAGTGGGACTAATGAAATATTCATATTTGGCGGGGAGGAGGAGGGCTGAAGTTGGAAGCCTGCTTGCCTAGATTCCGAGAGACCCTGAGTTCCGTCCCCAAGACTGCACTGCCTGGCAGGTGGTGCGTGCTTGTAATCCCAGGGGAGAGGAGGCTGGAGGATCAGGCGTCCAAGGTCATCTTTGGCTACAGAGTGAGCTTCAGGCCAGTTTCGCCTATATGAGAAATCAGTTTCGCCCTGATTCAGAAAAAACAAAACTGTATTCACCTGCAAGCAGGCTCCCAAAAGAAGGGACATTGAATTTCAAAACCCTCGAGGGCAGCAGAATTAAGGCACCGTCAGGCTCTAATGATAAATGTGATCTTTCCAGAATCCACTCCGAGGAAGAGTAGCATGGACAAGAAAACTCTTGTTTAGTGGTGCTGCACAGTGGTGCACACCCTCAATCCCAGCGCTCTGAAGGCAGAGGATCTCTGTGAAGTCAAAGCCAGCCTGGTCTACAGCGTGAGTTCCAGGCCAGCCAAGGCTACCCAGTGAGTCTGCCTCGGAAGGAAAGGGAAGGAAAGGGTGAGGATTTCAAAGCAGGTCAGTTTCCAAGTTAACATTTTGGCCAAGGTAACAATGTCATTAATTTGCAAACTCTATGCCCTTGGCAAGAAAATGGATACTTCCTGAAACGAAGTATTTGTCAGTGACAAACCCAATCCCTGAAGGTTGCTTTCTCTGGTACCACAGCAGCCAAGTCCACGGTTCCCCATGCAGCTGTCACCCTCTCTCAGCTGAGGGACTGGCCTGGGCCACCACCACACAATACCCTCCTCCTACCAAGGGTGGTTTCACAGTGTGCCCTTCCTCCTCCTCTGCGTCTGTTCAAGGCCCAGACCCAGTTCTTCTCAAAGTCAGCCCCAGTGAAACCAGTTTATGATTAAAAAAAAAAGGAACAAAGCCGGGTTTAGTTTTAGGCAGTGCTTCTGGATCCAGAGTGGTGGTTGTGGTCTGGAAACTCGTCCTGGCTCTGCAGACTTCAAAACTTAGTGGACCAAGCCTGCCCGGCCCAACCAGGGAAGGAAGAGAGAAAAAGAGGAGAAAAGGTTAGATGTGTCTGTCCTTGGCGTCTGAATTTACTCAGAACTGACCCAGGAACCAGAGCACTTAAGGAGCATTGCGACCGATGTCCTAAGCCACATGAGACAGCAGCCAGTGAAGCTGAGGCCTAATTTGCAAGGTGCAGAGGACTAGGAGGTTAACAGAGAGGATCAGCCTTATGGGGTTCTGCTGCTGTGATGAAGCACCAGGAAAGCCAGGGTTTGCTTGGTTTACCCGGCCAGGTTGCAAGTCTGTCACTGTAGGAAGGCAGAGCAGGAACCTGGGGGTAGGAAGCAAATAGAAGCCCTGGAGCGCTGTTTACTGCCTTGTTCCTCATGGCTTCTCCAGCCCTCTTTCTCATAGCGTGCCCATAGTACCACCCACAGGGAGTTGGGCCTTCCCACATCAATCATCAACCAAGAAAATGTCCTCAACCAATCTGGCATTTCCTCAGCTGAGGTTCCCTCTTCCTGAATGACTCTGTGTCGAGCTGACATAACGCTAGCCAGGCATCCCAGAGTCTGTGGGAGGAGGCCTGACTAGCGGTGGAGGGCTGATAGTTAAGGCGGTGGGGAGGCACCCATGCTTATGGACAAAGTTTAGATGTGACTCTGAGGTGGCGAGTGTCAGAAATAAGGTACAGACCCAGGTGATAGGGACACTTCAAAACCTGGCCCAGGGCCTCACTCATCGCAGGTGATTTCATTAACTAGTCCTTCCTTTCTCTCCTACTGCCAAATGCTTACCAAATCCCTAGTCCCTGCAGACCGTGCTGCCTGCAAAACAGGGAGTGTGAACATTTTGATAGTGTTGCTAAGAACTCAATGAGTTCACAGGACAGTTAGAACCCTACAGAGAAAACGGTACCACTGGTGCCCTGAGAGGGGACAGGGCCATCAGTTCAGATGTCACCAGGAGTTGCAGAGGCAGCGAGGACCTCACCTCAGGGCAGGCTCCTGGAGGCAGTAGCTAGGATGAGCCTGGAGAGTAAGGTCTGCGAGGTGCTGGGCAGGGCAGGGGGCTCCATCCTGGGTGACTGGCAAATTTGAGATGGGGGAGCAAAACCCAGGGGTACGGAGAGCGCTGAGGAGCAGGAGGGAAAGACCTAGAACCTGGAAGATGATGAGCCCAGAGCTAGCTCCCTTCCCGCACACGCTGATGGTTCAAGTCAGAGTGGATTGTGATTCTAGTCAGCTGGGGCCAGTCAGCAGCGAGTCTCAGCGTAGTCATCCGGGACCCAGGCTGCTCCTTGCTGGGGCACTGTGATCTTCCCCTCACTGTCCAGACTGTTGCTTGACAGGTGCAAGGGAGGCAGCCAGAGGAAGGGCACGCCCCCTCCCCACGGACAAGAGTCATGAGGCCCTGCCCGGATGCCAAGGAGCTGACACTGGCCGGGAGGGAGGAGGGTGATTCACTTTAGAGTCAGAAGTCTGCCCTGACTTCTCCATCAAGGTTTTCCAACTTGTATTTTTCCTCTGTTCTTCCCCCCACCACACCCCTTCCTCCTCCTCTTGTCTTTCCTGGTCTGTGATTTCTTCCTTTTCATTTCTTATTCATATTCTTCTAAAGGATGCTTTGGTCTGCGAGTCTTCTCTCCAAATTCACTGGTTGGGATGCAATCCCCAGTGCAATGATTCTCAAAGGCTGATCAGTGCCCCTTTAAAGGGTGGGATCAGGACTGTGGGGCAGGCCCTGGTGGGATGGCTCAGTGGGTAAGGTGCTCACCATGCAAGCCTGGCGAGGTAAATTAGGAGAGAGTTTGCTCTGACCTCCCCGCACCTCGTGGCACACTTCCCGTCATGCACACACATTGGCACGGAAAGGCTGGCGGCGTGCCTGTAACCGCGGCATTCGGGCATCCTTGGCTGCACCGTGCTCTGACAACCAGCCTAGAGGGGCTTGCCCGCCTCCTCCCCGGGAGCACACACAGCATCATTTATGAAGAACTGACTTCGCCAGACAGAATCTGATAGCACTTTGATCCAGCTTCTAGAATTATGAGCAATAAATTTCTATTTATGAGGAAACTTATCCAAAGAAGAAATGGTTTTGATGAGAGCCCAGCCTGTCTTTACAATGGCCTCGCTCTCCATTACCGTCATGTCGATATAATACCTGACATGAAGAGATGAAGGAGGGTAAGCAGGGCATGAGGGGAGGCAGGGCCTGCGCTCCCTCCGGGCAAGTTCTGACTAGGCTTCCTCTAGCTAAATCCTCACACACAGTAGGCTGCAGACATGTTAGGACCACCCACCTCAGTCATCCATGAGACCCTAACGAGGTTCCAAAGATAGGTGGCATGGAACAGCATTGCGGGAATACCTCTCCTGGGAGGCACGAGCCCGTAAGGTCCCAGCTGCAAACCAAGGCAAGATGCCACCAGAGTTCACCCTGGGAACCTAAGAGTTTATTGGGCTCACTTATAGAGAGCATGGTGAGGAGTTATAGTCACGAGTGTGGGTGACCCCCAAGCAGCCACGCTACTAGAAAATGTTAACCCCAGTCTGGTCTACAGAGTGGGTTCCAGGACAGGCTCCAAAGCTATACAGAGAAACCCTGTCTGGGAGTGGGGGAGAAAGAAAAAAAATAAGCAAGTGTTAACCCAGCATGGATGGTGGGGCTCCCCTAATGAACTCCCCCTAGCCTACACACTCCAGCATCCCCTGAGACCCTAAGGACTTGCAGAATAGCAGAATTGACTGCTAGGAACTGGAGGGAGTCTTGGAACCCCAGAGGAGGGCTCAGCGGCCCCACCCCTCTTTCTCTAACCCAGATGATCCCTTAAAAGCAGGCAGAGCTGTTTCCGCACAGAGGATCAAACTTTGCCACAAAGGGCAAACCTAGGTCACCCCAACTCACACAGCAACCTGCTTCTCCCCTGGCCCCTCCGCCTCTGCGGACAGGGAGCAGGGCAGCCTCAGAGACACTCATCTCCAGCTGTCCCTCTGTTGTCCCTGGGTGACTAAAGAGGAGGTAGAGGAGCAGAATGCCATTACAGCTTTTTCATAATGCGGTGTTGTCAGCGAGCTCTGGGCCTTTGGGCACGGCTCTGGCAGCCTCATCTCTCTTCCTGGCTGCCGAGGCTCCCAGGCTACTCAGGGAAGGGCAGGCTGCAGGCTAGTGAAAGGAATGTCCCGGCAAGACAGCAAGTTCATCAGCCGCTCCTCAGAATGATCTAAACATCTTCCTTTGGATTTAAATCTGCGCCTCAGTGGCCAGACACATAAAGCAAAAGATGAGAGAGAGAGCGAGCCGAAAAGAGCACTTGGGTGCCAAGAACTAGAAGGGAGGGAGGGGGCCTGAGGGCTGCACTGGGATTGCTGAGTGAGCTCCCACCAGACCCCAGCTTCCTCCTGGCTGCTCTGCACCTCTCACCCCTTCCTCCATGGCTAAGCTGTCCGGAAATGAGGAGAAAGTTTGAGAGCCTACCTAAGAACAAACTCAGGAGGCCTCCTCCTCCCGGTTCCCACTGAGCCTCCCTCAGACCAGAGTCGTAGGGGGCCGGCCACAGTCTGGTTTTCTCTTCCGTCCCATCTGCTCCACACGCATCATTACCACAGTTGTTGGGAGCAGAACCCGGGCCCTGCAGAGCTTGGGTCCCGCACTGTCACCAGCCCTCAACAGGCCAGCTAAACAGACATGTAGCACTGAAAAGCAAGAGAGGGAGCTCTTCAAAATGCTCACATTGGGAAGAGGAGCAAATAAAAGGCCCAATGGGCTCCCCACCTCACGCTTATCTCTTGGGGTCCTGACTGGAGATTTAGTTGTAAAAAGAGACAGGGAGAATGCAAACCCAGCAATCTTGGTCACCATG